TCACCAGAGTCTTTGGAGTTCAGTCAAATGAGCCAGTCAATGACAACACAATGTTTAGGTGGAAGAAAACGTCACGTAAAGAGTCACACTCGATCAAAACGTTGCCTAGTAGTGTAGTGTTCACTCTTGACTTGGGGGACGGTCGTTTCAACCACATCTGGTGGCCTTCATCGGCTTCAAGCTACTGAAGAAGGCCATGAGTTAGTAAGTGGACCTCGAGTTAAGCTTTTGCTCTATAGAGTCAATGGTAAAGACAGAAAACTCAACCTCTTGAGTCCTCTGTGAAATAAATACTCTTTAATATTCCATGGCTGCATTTTGGCAAAAGTCCCGCCCCTCAAACGCGGACGGGCCAATCGTAGCGTAGTGTTGGCCAGCTCCGACCAGGGTCCGACTTCTAAACGTCTCTTTACCACAGACTCAGGTTTGTCTGTTTCTGTGGACTTAAAGTTAGTCATAACGTTGTGTAACAGTTACCTGGAGAGGTTGTAACGAGATATACAGTTCTAAAATGTTACGGTTCTATGTAAAAAGCTGTGGAGCTAACATTAGCAGAGTACGCTAGCACAACATTAACTAGCGTTAGCACTTCAATGCTACGCTAGCTACTGAAGGCATTGTGAATCTCTACCCATGCTGTTTTTGCTTTTTGATGATTGTAACAGTGAATAAAGACCTACCCGGCTTTGCAGAAACAGTGTTGCAGGGAGTGCAGTTAGTGACAGTGTGGGCTCCATGGTAACAGCTTGATGGATGAGCAGTGGGGGGCGGGGCTTAGCAAAGGGTCAATTATTTTTTTTGTTTATACATTACTGCACCTTGTTAAATGAAGCACGAATTAGACTTTTAACAGTATCTAAAATATCTTTGACCTGAGGAACATTTAAGTTCTAATTATATACCACCTCTTAAAACTTTCATTTAGCAATGTGTGGCACGCGTGAGGTCGGACCCAATCATGATGCTTGTAGCCAAAACTCTGTTTGTGATGTCCCGTGGCTACCTTTAGTGTGTGCTCGTTCTACGTGGAGCTCTTTCTGTGAACTGGAAACCTCCCCTTTCATGGGAAAAAACTCTCACTCTTCTATTTGTGGATCTGCTCTGGTCGTCCCTCTGCCTGCCGCTGCCCCTCCCTCACTTTTCCTTTGTCTCGCCCTTCCTACTGTTGCAGAGCATCCACATCAGTTGGGCTCGCTCTGCCCTCGCACGTCTCTCTTTGCTATACAGTAAGGACGTAGGTGGGTCCAAAAGTAAAAAGTGCTTTCCTTGGGCGTATTGTAGAACCTTCTGCTTCTCTCTGAAATCGCTTTTTATTTTTGTCAGAAGTTAGATCATATTTATTCAGGGAGTGCAAGTTGTGACAGTGTGGGCTCCATGGTAACTCTTGGCGGAGTAGCAGCGGGGGGTAAGGGCTTAGCGAAGGGCCAGTTGGCCCACATGCATCTTCTGCTTCCTCATTCCACTTCCTGTTTCCTCCTCTGGTCGTCCATCCCGCCCTCAGCTCTGTCCGACTCATGACCTATACCTAGCTTGTCGGGTGGTAGATTTAATGAATGACAGTTTCTTAACCATTGTCTTTTATCAAACTGCTTCTCCTCTTTCGCCTCTCCCCCTGCCAGTGCTCGCCTTCCATGTTTCTCTCCTTCCAACTGTCACACCCTCCCTCTTTATCTTGTCACCCCCCCTCTCCGCCTGCCCCGTGGCATCCCTCCATTTGTCCGGTGAGGTCATCCCTCTGTTCTCCCTAATCCTGGGAGGTGCTCGTCTTTCTGCCTCCGCTTAATCCGCCTGTGGCCCCCAGCCCTGACCACACACACACACACACACACAAATTTGCGCACCCAGACTCACAGTTATTCTTGTATCATATAATCGGACACTCAGTAATTCTCACAGCATGCATAAACACATTCATTCAGACAGCACACACACACACACACACACACACACACACAGTGCCCCTCCACCTCTCGATATAAAACACCCTCTGTCTGTACATTAGCCATTCTGTCTAACTCTGTCCCTTGTGTCGGGTGATACCACACCTTCATACAGGTACGTCTGTCTGTCCTTTAATATGTCCTCTCTAGGCTTTGTTCTCATAAGAAGACAGTAGAATGAGATCAAGCAAGTTGTTTTCCATTTATTTCACCATCATAGTGGACACTTTGTTGAATGTGTTGAATGTGTTGAGGGTGTGTCTGTGTTAGCATAGCACGTACTCAGACTGACGTACAAACCTCATAGCACATTTATAATGTAGGTATAGATATTTATATGCAATGTGGTCCAGTAGCGGCCAGCTGATGGTCTCATTGTGTTTCCTGCACAGAGGATGAGGTCTGAGACTACTCTAACGAGGTTCCCACTTGGCTACCTGCGCCAAACTGTCTATCGTTAGCTCTAAAAGCTCTCAAAGCATTCGGCAAATGGTCAAAATCCCCACACCACAGCACCGTTAGCTAGCTTGCGTGTCCTTCATTAGCCTAATTAGCTGTCGAAGGTCTGACAGCTAATTAAGCTTGTGTGAGTGTGTAGAACATTTACAGTGGCTTGTTCAGGTCAGTTTAAATGGTGTAATGTATTTTAATCTGTTAGAGAAGCTAATTGGGAAAATAGCTATCATGTTGCTTGACATAGAAATCGATTTAGAAATGACGCGTGTTATTTTTACTCCTGCCACACCTTTAATAACACGCAGAGTCATTCCTGTTTTCCATGTCAAGCAACATAATGGCTACTTTCCCAATTAGTCTCTAAGAGATAAAAATACATTACACAACTCAACTTAAACTGACACTCCTGAGCTAGCTCTGTCTCCACTCTAGAATATTTTGATAGCTGACAATAGCCTCTCTTTAACACTAATGAGGTATTGTTTCATTCTCCTTTACTCCCCCCCCCCCCCCCCACACACACACACAGGTTGCCCTTGGCTAAAATTAACCCTGCTAAGGGCTGAGCCTGTTGTCTGTTGGAACTTGAATCCTCTCCCAAATCCCCTGAGTCACTCAGCCCCCCCGCCTCCGCTCATTCATCCATCCATCATTTCCCCCCTCCGTCCATCTCTCCATCCATCATGTACTTATTCATAGGTCTTACCTTCACATACCTTTTGAGTTAGACCTCCCCTCCCCATTTAAGACTACACTGCCCGAGCCTTTGAGCGAGGCACTAGAGTGATTCTTATGAGTGAATAGTGCCTTTTCCATGTACTTTGTGTCCCTTAAGTATATTGCTCTACTGTCAGTAGTAGATATAATAAGATACACCTTTTATATCAAAACCATACCATGTTGCTTCCTTTAAGAAATAGTTCAACATTTTGGATATACACTTTTTTTTTGTCTGCACGTTTCAACCTGCAATAATGTATTTACCTTTTGTCCAGCATTGTCCAAGTTGCGAACTTGTTAGCAACATTATCATTCATTTTGAGTTGTGTTTCTGTCCACCTGCTAAATGTAAGACCAATAGTCACTCTCTTTTAGCTCTGATTTTGGTCTCCACCAACTCCCGAGGGAAATATTTAGCTCGTTGGCTGGTAAATGCTCCGCTATGTTCACCAGCTAGCTGTTTCTGCCTAGTGAGCCGATAAAACAGAAGTAAAAAATGTGTGTTTGGACAGAGCTTGGCAGTTTTCCCCTCTTTCCAGTCTTTATGCTAAGTTGAGCTTAGCATAAAGACTTCATATTCACTGTACAGACATTAGAGTGGTATCACTCCTCTTATTTAGCTCTCGGCAAAAAAGAGAATAAGCCAATTTCCCAAAATGTTGAACTATTTCTCTAAGACTTTTACATTTTTTTTTGCTGATGCTTGATAATGAATAGAAACTGTGGAACAAGTAAAACACTGAAATTGAAGTGAAAAAAACGGTGAAGGCTGGAGCCGGTTGCTATCTCTGTCCGTATAAACAGAAACAGAGAGTTGATCAATAACAGCAGATGGAAGATGCTGCTAGGTCTGGCATGGCAATGGGTATGACAGCAGACAGGGGAGAGAGTCACAGGGCCATTGTAAATTCCTCCTGATGACAGATGGAGCGAGTGGAGGAGAAGAGGAGAGGGCATGATGGTGTGGAGATAATAGGAAGGAATCGGGATGTCTGAAGAAGTTTCTCTTTGTTTGAAATCAGATTTTCAAGCTGTTCGAGGTTTCAAATCATTTCAGAACGTCTCACACCGTTTGGCCAAATGACCTTAGAGCTGATCATAAGATCATCTTATTTGTCAGAAGCACCAGAACAGAGAGAGAAAGGGTGAGTGAGGACAAAAGAGGAGAGAGGTGCGGCGACGGAAACTCGAAAGTGAGAGAAACTCTATCTCCCCTGGGCTCTCTGCATTTAACCCCATGTCACATTCTCACCTGTTGCCGCTCCATCAATCTCCCTGCGTCCACTGCCAGGAAGGTGTCACTCAGCACACACCCACTGTGACAATGGCAGCTCAGAGGGACAATTTATAGCCAAAAACATGTCGGCGTGCATTATGTGTCCCTCTGCTTATCTGTGTGTTTTTTCCTGTCTCCAAAGTGATTAATCTGAGGAGAGTAGGGACTTGTGGCCAACCGTGATTTAGCAATGATGACTCACTCACAAACTGCATTTACGTCAGTATTTAAAGAACACCTGATATGGTCTTAATCCAGGTATCCAGTATCTTTTTTTATATTCATTTATGACTAACCACATGATGCAGGTATTTGGTCATAGACCAAATTATGGTACAAATAAAACAAACAAACAAACAAATATATTTCAGCCTGAAGGCCGCAGTTCGTCCCCCATGTGAAACAAATATGCCAATGGTGATGTTTTTGTTACTTGCTTACTTCAGTCATGGCACTTCCGTTAGTATTTGAACCCAAACGATGGTCTATTCCTAAACGTAACCAAGAACCTTTTTTGCCAAAACCTAACTGAGTTTCCTGTGTAGACGGAAGTTTATTTTGAAAGGATTGCATGCATGTAACGAGCGGAAATAGACACGTGTTGCAGGCTTTCGTAGGAAAACGCACAATAAATGAGGAGTAGCTATTCGTAGGACATCATACTAGCTGTTGTATGAGGATACGTTGCGCTCTTTAATCTACGTCACCTGAATTCCTCCTTTGCTCCCATTATAATTTCTATGGCCACTAGTGGCCGCCGCCTAACAATAAACAGATATAATTCGTAATAAACTGCTTGTACCAACGAACTATGGGGTCATACGTTGGGGGAGGGCAGTCTCTTTGAGATACATGGAAATCTGGCTACTGTTGTTAACTGAAGTCCTTAGAATTCATCCTCTGGGCACCACGAAGATCTTTGCCAAATGTCATAGCAATTAATCCAAAAATGATGCAATAAAAACTCAAATGTCAAGCTCATGGTGGCACTGAATGAAAGGTCAGAGGACCAGAGGCGCTCCCTCTGTGGACCATGAATGTTTTCCTGTCAACCCTTCCAAAAATTGTTGAGATATTTCAGTCTGGACCAAACCAGTGAACAGACCAACCGACAAACAGAATGGCAGCCATTGCCATCCCTGGTGCCAAAGTCATTTTAAAAATGTAAAAATAAACTTTTGTTGAATAAAATAAAAGGATCTGATCAAAGGAATTTAAATAACATCACTTTTTAAGGACAGTTCATTTGTCAAAACAGGGCTTCAACTAACTGTTTGTTATTGTTATTTGATTATTCTTTCAATAATGCAACTAATGATTTCCCAGAAGCCAAAGCCATATGTTATTTAATTCACCATATGGAATCATCTGAATCATTCATTGCATCAGTTCTCCCCTCCTGGTGGGTCTCTTGTACTTGAGATGGTTCTATTTGACTGATTCATTGATCTTCTTGATTTGATTGCCATTTGTTTCTCCTACTTGCAGCCATGTCAGATGTAGAAGAGGAGTACGAGTGAGTAGAGCACCATCCCTCAGCTGTTTATTCCAGCGTGTCTTCATCCCTTAATTAACTGACAGATATGTTTCTCTGTTCCTCTTCCTCATCTCTCCAGGGAGCAGGGTAAGTTCAGCGTCCATATTTGCAAAATATTCAAAAAGTGATTATAACATAAATTAAGCTTTTTTGCGAGACATGAAACTGTATTTATTTCTCCGGGTCTCCTTTCTCCCAGAGGCTGAAGAGGAGCAGGAGGATGAGCTGGAGGAGCCTGAGCTGGCAGAGGAGGATGGAGGAGGTAAGGTCAGGAAGACTCCCAGAATGCAAAGCAGACGAACAGTACAGCTGCCTGTCGAAGCAAATACATGTAAACAGTAAGACAGACTCAAATGGTTGTGACAATAGATACATGTCTTTCCTTGTTGTCTGAAGACGCTCTCAAAGAGCCAAGCAATCGATCCCTCTCTTCTTCATCTTCATAACTGTGAGTTGTTTTGGGTGACGCTGTGCTAACTCTGACCTATCAACTTCCCCTCTATCCTGCTCTCCCATTGGCTGACGCTGTGCTGGTTTGGGCTTTCAGAGCAGCAGGAGTACCAAGGTACGGTGACAGCACACCCGCCATCACTCACACTTTTAGACACCATGTATGACGAGCCCTAAAACCCACTGCAGGTGGTAGTTGTTAAAGAGAAGGAGACATTCATTTGCACCTGAGTTTGAATCCCACCTATAGATTGATATTTCACTTGCATTGTGTTTTAATACCAAAGGTAAATAGTGATTTAAGTCATCTTTAATCACATGTCACACCTGGACTTTGACGTGTTGATCGTGTCTGATGGTGTTGTAAACCTTCTACCGCTTTGTTTTTTCCTTTTCCTGCTTTTGCAGCTGGTGTTTTAAAAGTATAAATAATCAAAACAAAATCAAATGTGGATATTTCTATGATATTGTCTGCCTTAGTTAGTATGAGGAAAGATTTAAAGATGCACTCAACTTTTTTTCAAAAGTCAAATGACCATGTGTAAGGGTTGATTGTAGTGACGAGCCCACAAAGAATTATCACCTCACTGCGGTACCCCTCAGCAATGTGTGGTGTTTTAGTTTCTTTTAGCTAATTGTCAAAGGTTTGACAATCTCTGCTCTCATGAACAAGCAGCAGCAGTGCAGCTGTCACCAAAAATAAGTTTGATAAAACACTGCGCACTACCTGCCCAGCACCAAACAGGACAAAGTTAGCAACATATTAAGTTAGCGACTAGCTGGTGAACGTTGTTCGTATTTAGAACAAAAAAAAAAAAGTGTTTTTCTCAGGATTGGTGGTGACCAAAACAAGGCTAAAAGGAAAGTGAATACTGAACTTACATCGATGACGTGAACAGAAACACATCTCCAAACAACTGCTAATGCTGCTCTGTGTCTGCTGGATGTGTAAATGTATGAGGTTGTTGAATATTGAATATAGTGTCTGAACTTCCTCTGTCCTTCATTTTGGTTTTTAAGGTCTTCATGTCATACTTCTGAATGTATTTCATTCCCCTCTCGACTCTCTTTCTTACCCTGGATTAGTGAGGAAAGTGTTTTGGTCAAGGACATAAATGATGTCCTTGCTCTTTTCTTTTCTTATAACTCATTAAAAACACGGCTTCAGTCACATTAATTAATTTATTAACAATTTTCAAATTGTCCTTCCACATGTTTTGGGGAAACATTTATATTCAGGCTTGTAATTAATATTTTTGCTTGTCTTTCTCTCTTTCATCAACAGAGGAGCGCCCCAAACCCAAGTATGTTCACATCATTTTGTATTATGTTTGGTTGCAGTGGATCTTTTTTCAACAATGTCAATTTCCCTCAATCTTATATTAATCTTTTCAAATACTCTCTCAAAACTGTCATTCTGTGCCTCCCTTTTTCCCTCAGACCCATGGTGCCTCAACTTGCCCCTCCAAAGATTCCCGAGGGGGATAGGGTTGATTTTGATGTAAGTCGTGAAAAGATCAGTTTCATTTTCTCCAAACAATTCTTGATCTGGTCCAACAATCAGCTGTCAGAGTCCTCACAAGATCAGAGAAGTTTGATCGCAGATGATTTCAGCTGCTTTCAGAATCCTCCTGCTGACTTAAAAGGCTTTAAATGGATTATCTCTTCCAGTTTAAATAGATTTTATGAGTTTGACATGATGGAGGCCTAAAGATGTTTCAGTGGTAAAATAATCAGTTTCAGTTGAGCCATACTGAGTTCTATAGAGATGTTATATGGATTCAAACGCTCCCTTTTTCCCACCAGGACATCCACAGAAAGCGCATGGAGAAGGACTTACAGGAGCTGCATACTCTGATCGACGTCCACTTTGATCAGAGGAAGAAGGACGAGGAAGAGCTCATCGGCCTCAAGGACCGGATTGTAAGTTTACTGAAGGGCCCTTCTACACCTACCTCGTTTGGTTGAATTTCCTTGCAGTAACTTTTTTTGAAGTCCAAAAACATCCAATATTTTACAGTAAAAGATTAGAGAAAAAGCAACAAAAAGTTCAAACCATTTTGTTATTGAGGAAACGTCTCTTCTTTACTTCCCCAACGATCATCTCACGATCCCTCAGAACTATTTTTTAAGCCTTTGGAGGGCCACTAGATCGGGGATGATAATGTCAAAAGTAATAATATATCAGTCACAGGTGCCATGTATCCGCAAAATGTGTACTTACGCGGTACTTTAAATAAGAACATTTAGCTGATAATGTTTCTGTACTTTTTTACTTGGGTAGGATTTTAAATGCAGGATTATTGCTTGTGCTATTTCTATGTTGTTGTGTTTGTACCTTGACTTAAGTAAAGGATCTGAATACCTCTTCCACATAATAACTAAATGTATTTGTCAGGTTTTTTTAAAGGAGATAAAAAGTCTAAATGTTGCTTCATGCTTAATAAGTTGCACTAAGCCATTTGATGGCTTCTTCACTTTGCCCTCCATCAGGAGAATCGTCGCTCAGAGAGAGCTGAGATCCAGAGGGTTCGAACGGAGAAGGAGAAGGACCGACAGAACAGGATTGCGGTAACAAACACACACACACACACACACACACTCACCACCCAGTCCACACAGTGATACACTCTATCTAAGCTGTAAACGGGTTCAAGTTCTTTCTCTATTTCCTCAAACTATGTGAAACCAATGTTTACTTCTATAAACAGTTGCTCAATACAACACTGCATTAAATCTCTTTTTCAGCTGAACAACTGTACAATTTACACGTTTTTTTTCTTGCTCCCTCATCCCGACCATCCTTCTTCGTCTTTCAGGAGGAACGTCACAGAAGAGAGGAGGATGAAGCCAAGAAGAAGGCTGAAGATGAGTTCAAGAAGAAGAAAGTGCTGACTGGCATTGGAGCGAACTTTGGAGGCTTCCTGGCCAAGGTCTGCTGTTCCTCTCAGTAGAGCTCATGACAACGATGATGTTGATGACGATGATGACGATGATGATGATGATGATGATGATGTTCGACTGTGGACCGTGTGTGTGTTATCCGTCCCAGGCAGAGACGAGGAAGGGCAAGCGTCTGACGGGCAGAGAGATCAAGAAGAAGACTCTAACTGAGAGACGGCAGCCGCTGAGCATCGACAACTTGAGGGAGGACGCGCTCAAGTGAGTCTCCCCTAAATGTTTTGTCATAGATGTTAACAAAACAAGAGGCCAGATCCCTTTCTAAATGTAGTCTTTGCGATCCCAAAGGCAAGAGGCCCAGGAGATGTGGAACTGCATCTACCAGCTGGAGTCTGAGAAGTTTGACTACATTGAGTACATGAAGCACCAGAAATACGAGGTACCACTGTTTAGCTGGAGACAGATGTTGTGAGTGATTCTGAGGTGTGTATGAAATGATTTGTCTGCAGACATGTAATCTGTAGGTGTAACTCTTCACCGTCATTGTAAGTCCACTAAAAGTGCTTGTTTTTGCCGCTGACAGGCTGAGACTGTTGTTGTAAGTGTCTGACAGCATTATAGAAAGAACCCTACAATGAAATAAAAGGTTTTTCTTTACCTTTTTTCTGTATCCGGTCTGTTTGTTATCGTGTCTAACCAAGTATCGCTCGAGGAGAAGTCTCGGGGAATCTCACGTAGCATCCTTATTGTCGAAATCCGCCAAATCAGTCACGTTTCCTCCGTTGCCTTCAGGCAACAAGTCACATGACACGATAACAAACTGTAAAGAGTTTGAAAACGAACTCGTATAGACTAAAGAATTACATAAATATTCAAAAAGTGATTAATTGATCATGAAAATAATCTCAATGATTTGAATCTCTCCATGTGACCTCTGAATTCCTTTTGTTTGCCGCTTGCAGATCATCGTGCTGCTGAACAGAATCCAACATGCTCAGAAATTGTGAGTACTTCCTTTTATACAAAATACGATGTCCTGTCTATCTGTCCTTGTCGCATCCTTTCTTACTTTCCTCCTCCTTCCTCCTCTCTCCCTCTCACAGTAAGAAGATCCATGGCAAAGGGAAGGTGGGCGGCCGCTGGAAGTAAAATGGAGGGGGGGGGGCAAAGAAGAAAAAGAGAAAACACATTTTCACAGGCAGCGTAGGAATGAAGGAATCACACATCTCCCCTCCGTGGTCTTCTGGTGCCGGAGCCGCTCTGTAGGCCTTTCCTGTGTGTGTGTGTGTGTGTGTGTGTGTGTGTGTGTGTGTGTGTGTGTGTGAGAAAGATATTTGATGTTTCTTGATTAATAAAGCGACATGCACTCAGTTTGGAGTTGTTGTGTGGATCACAACCCCAAAATCAGTCTGTGTTTTTTAGCTGCTGTACTCTGGTTTAGGTATATTATGTGATGGCATCCGAGAACTCAAACTGCAGTCAGTTGACATCTGCTTTGAATTTTTGTCTGTAACGGCCCAATTCTACAACAAAAGCTTTGTTGTTCTTGAAGAAAAAAGGTTTAAAATCTTTTCCAGAACTTTGTAGAAAGGCTGCGATCAGTTTCTTCATTTAGGCCTGGATTTACTCTAGAGTCAAGAGTCAAGTTGCAAAAAGTCTCTTTTTTTTCAGAGGAGTGTTGCCAAATGGTTCCCGTCTGTAAAACGTGATTGAACTCATTTCAAACCCTCCACTCTTAATAAACAATGACTGCTGTTATGTGCCTCTATACGATGCTTTGTTATTGGACAATCCACACGGTGCTGTTTTTATTGCATTTTTGGTGTTCAGAGAGTACACCGGTGTAGTAGGGCAATTGTAGGTAAAAGAAAAAGATGACAGAGGATTTTATAGTAGAACTTGGATACTCTCGGATATTAAAGTGTTAAATTTACAACTTTGTTCTTTGAATTTTGTTGCACCTCAAGTAGTGTTCTTTTGGAAAAATGGACCTCTGAATGATGCAAAGTTCTTAAGAGATACATATAGGCGTTTTCTTTAAGAACATAAATAAATACTGATACATTTTGCCCTCGGAGGCTCACGTTACCGCAGCGTTTAATGCCGGTGGCTGTGGTGTGATGAGGTTGATCCAACCGTGCGAAGTAAAACGATGTGGTTCACTTCATACTTTTCTTAAATCTCTGAGAAATTCGCCATTTTTCTTGCAAATTTATGATTAGTAATCACAGAGAATATTCAAGTTTCTTTCTTGTAAATCTTTACTCTCTGTCATTCTGAGGTCTTTCTGGTAATTTTACCCTCTTACCCTGGATATGTAATTTATTCATAATGTTTTTTAACCTGCAACGGCTCTAATACGCTGCCGTCCAGAAAGTCTATGCTTCAGGCATCTTTTTGTCTGTCCTATGTAAAAACGATCACACTCGCAAACGAGACAATAAACAGTAGATTCAATTGTTTTGACTCCACCGTTTTGAAAAACAGAAATGTTCTTGTTTCTATGACCTTGAAGCAAGGATTAAACTGTAGGCCCTTGATTGTTTATATGCTTTGTGGCCTTACTAATTTATCTTTTTTTTATCTTCTTTCATAAATAATGTGGCAATACAATGTGTAAAAGTTAAAAAGCAAAGCTACGGGAAGTGATAAAATCTGTAGATAAATAAAATGGCATCCAGACAATAGAGCTGTGACGCACGTGGTGAGGAGTAAAGTAGCTGTTACATTCTGCTTAGGCCCCAAAAAAAAGGTCCCCAAGGATATGAACTGTTGCGTAACACCAATAGTGAGTGGGGAAAGTTGAGGTATTTAAAGTCTAACAGCTTTAGCGTTGGATTTCAGGTTCATCAGAGTTCATCGCCAGTCATGAAAGCAGCTGAGTGTACTCTGCCTCACAGTGCCAGAGATATGAAGAGAGCTGGAGACATGACCTGCGTCTCTCTGTTGTGCAATACCAATAATTTTAATACTTAATACTTAATACTTTAATGTAATAATTATCATTTAGGTGACTATGCAGTTAATACCCAGCTTTGCAGCTTTATGTAGTTTGTAAAATTTGATAAAGGTAGAAATGAGGTTTTTATTTCTGCAAGTAACTACCATCTAGGGCAGGGATTCCCAAAGTGTGGTGCGCCTCTAAGGGGTGCGCGAGAGGAAAAATGTAATGGTGGTCTAATGGTGCAGTCCTGTCTCCTAAAAATTACGTTCCCCCAAAACTAAAATGCATTCTCAATTACGTTTGACCATAAACGTATTTTCTCCCTGATTACGTTTGTGTTTTACGTTACAAATACGTTTCTCATCAACATATCTTTGCCATACTCTAGTCTTTATTATTTTTCTGCGATCTGCCTCGCCTCTACCCCCGCCACCCACAAGTTGTTGCCCCGCGGCCTGTTCCGAGGGCTGACAGACCTGACGATGGGGTGCCTCACGGCGGGGCGGCTGGAGACCTCGTGAGCGCCCGCCACTCGGAACCATAAAACCAAGTCCCGGATTTCACCCCGGGGACATTCTGGAGGTATTGTGGCCGGGTGATGTGCCTCGTTGCTGTGGAGGTATGAGCCGAGAGTGGCGGGGTGTTATGGAGGTATATTTTATTTATTTGTATCTATCTAACCCTAACCATAACTTCCACTAGGAAGCCACGTCCCCACCCAAACCGAACCCTTAAGAGAGTCACGGTTACTCCCGGATTATACACGCGGGCCTTTGTGGAGGTATTGTAGCCGCGTAATGTTCCTCGTTGCTCGGCCTGGATGAGCGCGTTTCTGCCGGAGACAGGCGGCGTGTTGTGGTAGTATTCTGACCGCGTAATAGGGAGATGGAGAGGCGGTGGTGGAGAGGGAAAAAAATGTTAGTGTTAAAATGTTGATTAGAAACGTATTTGTAATAAGTCAATGTAATAATTCAAACACAATTTTTAGGAGACAGGGTTGCATGCATGCCTGGTGCAGTGAGGTTCTGGCTAACAGCTGTCTGAAGCCCTCTTATTTACGTCGCCACCTGAACACCAAGCATGCCAGTGCAAGTCAAAAGCCCCTTACATTTTTTATATCGAAATTGGAGGAGTTACAAAACAGCCAAAAACAACTGCAGTCTCATTCATGTGTTGGGTCTACAAAAAACGCACTCCGGGCTTCTGGTCACAGAATAGCAAGAAGCTACCGCACACAATCGCCCAAGACGTGTGCTTGCCAGCTGCCAAAGAGATGGTGGAATGTATGACTGGAGAGAGAGAAGCAAACAAGTTGGACGTGATCCCGGTGTCCAACAACACTGTCGCGCAGCATCGATGCTTTGTCCGAAGACATCCTGGCTACATTAATCGGTCGCGTGAAGAAGAGTGAGTTCTACTCTCTGCCAGTAGACGAGTCTACAGATGTGGCCAATCTGGCCAATCTTCTGGTGTACGTCTGTTACCTTTTCGAAGGCACGGTGCAGGAAGTTTATTTGTCTTTTTTTGTGTTTTTTTATCTCGTGAACAAACGCTACGCGCCAGCAAACTGTTCTCTCATTGGTCCGATTTTTATGCGGCTATAAATAGGCTCTGTTGCTTTTTTTTTTTAAGGTGTGGGGGGGGGATTGGGGGTGCGTGAACCCGGTCGGGATGTAGAAGGGGGTGCGTGGCCTAAAAAGTTTGGGAACCACTGATCTAGGGGAAGCCAGAAGTCCATCATTTCAAAAAGATGTATTGGCACATAACACATTTGAAGTAATGCTTGCAGTGTTGTCATTAACAGTCGATGTTATTAGAATATTTCAGTGAAGAGCTCCCTCAGGTGGATAAACGCTGTCATCGCATCCTGATGAAACTGGAAACCCATCAGTTGGGTAAAAGGATTTCACACATGTAAATAAAATCACCTCGTTACATCAGGGTACTCTGTAGAATATAGTGTTTAATTAACATTACACATGGTCAGCTAACAAAAATGGGTTGTTTTCGCCCAGTGTTGGTGTCTTATTTATATATTTATATTGGGCTATTTTATTTTATATATAATATTTATTTCGTCATATATTAATCCACATTGCTCACTTATTTTGGGTTATTTACCAAAACAAATAAATACTTATTTAGTTATAACATAGTAATAATATACATTTAGTAATAACATATTTCTGTTGGGTCATAAATTGAAAAACAAAACAAAATCTAGTACATTTTTTTGAGTTATGAGTGTGAAAACAATATATGATATTTTGTTGTTTTGTGGCATATGTTTTGAACTTCTTCAAATTGAATTATTGTCCACTGCTGCAACTGTTTGTTTAAAATATTTTTTTTTACTTTTTAATGTTTGGATGTCATGAAGTTTACAGAAAAAAAAAAACCAGATAGAAAAACTGTGTAAAATAACAACTGATGAGAAATGATGCCTCCTTGTGAAACATGATTTAGAAAATAATTACAAACTTTTTAAACTAGTTTATTATCTGTGTTTTTAGTTTAGTTGGGGCACTCAGATTGTTTTCCTTCTCTTCCTTCTTCTCTCCTGTCCGTGGTAATTATGTGCCCCCCCCCCCTCTCTTTAATTCCTGCCTCACATGTTTGGCTCACTGCGTGAGACAAGGACTAAAGAGGACAGACACACTGTTAATCCAGTCTTTCACTCACTGCATCAATTCAGGGCTCTCTCTCTCTCACTCTCTCACTCACTCACTCACACACACACACACACACACACACACACACACACACACACACACAC